TAGCTATCTAATAAGGGTCTGTCACCTTTATCATAATAATAAGGAAACGGATTAGTATAAGTTTACAAACTTGTTTCCGAATCCTTTTTGATTTTTGTACTACTGATCTGTATCTTCTGCTTGTCATTTTCAAATAAAATATGGTTTAAACTAAATAGTCGTAAAGTATCTTACTTTATCACATTTTGCGTCGTTATTACATTTTGTATTGTAACTTATCATTTGTCCCAGTAAAGAAATACACGTCATTTAACCCCAGTAAAGAAATGTTAAAGGTGAGGATAACGAATAGGGATCAATTGAGTAAACAAAACAAATGTCATTAGTCCCAGTAAAGAAATGACTCGTTAATTTCGGCAAAGGAATATTTGTTATTAGCCCCAATAAAAAAAATAGGAATCAAAAATATGCTTTTTTTACACCCAGTAAAGAAGTACGTGCCATTTGTTCTTTTAAAAGAAATAGTTGTCATTTGTCCCAGTAAGGAAATAGTTGTCGTTAGTTCTTGTGAAGAAATACATGGCATTAGTTCCAGAAAGAAATACATGGCATTAGTTCCAGAAATAAAGATTTGGCATTACACATCTAGTAAAATATTAAATAATTGTCATCTGTCAAAATAAAGAGTCCCAGTCAAGAAAATTAATAAAACTGAGTCTATAGACATTTTGTGTGCATTTGCATTAATTCAATATATATATATATATATATATATATATTTAAAACATTGCTGTGACGTCATGCCTTTGTTCTTGCAGTCTAAAAATTTACTTGTAGCCGTCCGATAATAATAATTAGCAGTCCAATAATATGTTATCGGACGGCAGTGATAACAAAATCGGACAGTAGTTAAAAAACAACAACTAGAGTGAAATCAAGGTTTAATTTGTCCAGTAACCAAAAAAGAAAGTTAAGGAGAAAAAATTCAGGGAAAGCGAACGCGAGGGAATTAAATTGTTAAAAATAGCAAATCTAAGAAGAAACTGTAGTTTTAACCTCCTTTCAAAAGTAACACTTTCCATTTGGTTTTTTTTTTTTTTTTGGTTTTTTTTTTTTTTTGGTTTTTTTTTTTTTTGCAAAGCGTTTTCGATACAGCACTGTGAATAAGCCAATTTAAATCCATTTCTGACAAAGAACCAGTCTGCGAATCTCTTCATTTAACAAGGTTTGTTCGCCAATGACCGCACTTTTAAAACCCAATTTTCATTATATCATCCAATCAAAATTTTAGATAAAATCCGCATTTTTACTTGAAATGCATTTTGAAGATATCATCCAACACCGTATCTGTATCAATGTTAAACACACTTGATAAAAAAAATATTCCGAATCATAAAAAAATCCTTCATCACCTGACGACTGACCATAGTTCCTGCTAAGCCAAACGACTGCCATTGAATGAATGAAACAAAAGAGTTCACTCACTGATTTTACTGTCTAAAGAAAAAAAACCTTTCTCTTTCTTTTCTCTACTTATTAGATGGTTTCAGGTAGAAAACTATTGATGAGTGAACTCCTATTGTTTAATTATCGGACTCCTCCAGGTAACTTTTGGACATTTAAATAGCAATGTTTTAAGTAAGATATATGCCTCATACAATTCTATATGTAAAATTATCAGACTGTTTTCGGCCCTAACGGGCCTCAAACAGTCTGATAATTTTACATATAAAACAGTATTCGGCATATATCCATTACATATATGTGATGTTATTCCTCTTAGATAAAATATATACCATGCTGATCCGAGGCTTTGTACATTTTTAGTATTTTTAGTCATTATATCTCCAGAGTTAACTGCTCTATACCCGTAACCGGAAGTGTGGGGGTGTAATTAGTTTTCAAAAACTCCAACGCAACCTAATTAGCTGTAAGAAAGGAGTTTTTCTTTCCAAATGTAAATCTGTTACTGTAAAGGGGAGTACCATTAACTTCAATAACTAAATACTCTTCTCTGCCTCATTAAATTAAACAGAGAGTTGATGGAGGAATTGGTACCAACGTCAAGTAATTGATATTTCGTAAACAAATTTATATCATTATATTACCTGTTCATACTTACATTTCAAGTGATACAACGAACAAAATGTACATTGGTTTACACCAAACAAAAAGAACTGTTTAAAAAGATTCTGCGTTATAACAAAAACATTTTAATTTTTTAAATAAATCAATAAATATTTTTTTTCATAAAGCAATTATACATTGCACCGAAAGCTCTGTATCTTGGTAAGGGAGTCTTGGTTAGAGCTCGAGATAGAAAGCGGGGGTGGGTTGTCTATTCGCGTAGGACGTAGGCTTTCAAATCCACCTGTTTCCCACTAGGTAAAACTATTTTCTTTCCCGTCCTGACCTTTTGTTAATTACATTATACAGTCGTCAGGTGATAATTACCGGCAGGTATGATTACCCTGCCAGTGGAACATCTACCTGTGTCAGAATCTACCCACGCGTGCGGATGCCTGCAGCAGCAGAGAGAAGGAGGAGAGAATGTAAATAGACCACACTGATCTATCTATATTTTGTCTATCATTGCCTTGTATTACAAACTCTTTAAATTTATATGACTGAAATTGTACCTTCGTGTACACGTCTAATTGTTTCCAATGACAGTTTCACAGCTTATTGAAGTTTGATACTAGTATTTTTGTACGTTTCCCTTTTCAGATGAAATGATATTGATAATTATTTTAAATACAGTATTCTAACCCGTTTTAGATTTTAAATACTCTAACCCGTTTTAGATTTTAAATATTCTAAACCCGTTTCAGATTTTAAAATATTCTAACCGTTAGAATCGTCTTAACTTCGTTTCCATCATTAATACACTTTGTGTAAAGACTAATACTATTACATAGAAGTTGAAATGTTTTCTTTACACATTTTAAGAATTTTTTTATGCCTAAAAAATATTTAGAATATACATAAAAACTATATTCAATTCAATTCAGTTCACTTTAGATATTGAGAATTACGAATTACAGTCATAAGCATCAATATTAATACATACAAAGTAACAAACATAAGGTAAACAAAGCGGAACATGTATTGACATATTTCTAAGTATCCACTGACTTTCTTTTCTGATAGAAAAGATCGCTATATATGCAGATATGATTAAGAAAAAACCAGACGTATGGGCCTCGGTATCTTTTGCATGACATTAGTATCCAATTTAAACTAAAACGAAAGAACGAAAGACATTTTTCATAAACATAATTATCCCACATTTTTCAATCATGTAAAGGTCGTCTTAAATATCAGCACCTCGTAGATAATACTATGTAGTATTCCGTGTACTTACGTAAACCGTTAACATATTAAACACAACAATATATATCATCCTCTCACGATTTTTAAATCAAGATAAACAGGTGACGTTAGTGTAAAGAATATAAAATTTTTGTTAATCAATATTTAATGTCGAAGATGAATTCCATTTCGCACTTAAATTTTCAGTTTATTTTGTAAATTAGTAAACAATGTTTCATATAAACCAGGCGTATATATAAAGCATTACACTCGCGCAGAGCCTTCAGAGTTGTGTTGTGTGGGAAACTGTATGTTCAACCAGTAAAGTCAGAGAAGTTAAGAATAAAATGTTACTTTTGTGTAAAAGCATTGCGTATGTTGTAAACAATTTACTTATCCATAAAGAAGTGTCTATTTTTTTAATTTTTCTCTACATGTACAATAATGTTAAAAAGATCCGTCTCGGAACTAAATAATGTGTGCACTCGTTCATAATTTTAAATACCTAAGTTCTTATTTTTGTTTATGAATGTATAAGTATATTACACTGATATAGGCTGGGTGGGATTAAATGTAACACAATAAAGGCTTGAAAAGAGATTCTCAGACCACCCCCCCCCCCCCCCAGCTGTATAGAACAGATCTTGTCGGACTTTAAGTGAATTTTAATATCTCAATCTCAAAATACTTCCTACAAGCAGTCTATACCTTACGGTCACTGCCTCTTAATTACATGTATGTCCATTCCATATAAAAAAAATCCATATTTAAGAACTGCACGAGTATATATCAATTATATAATAATTATCATTTTATGCTTCCACAAATTGTGAAATAAATTTCGTTCTTGATTAATCTTTTCAGCAATACTGAACTTTATAAGGACGAAATTGCTTGTATAAGAATACATTTTTGTATTTGTCCGAAATTAAGAATATCTTATTCATATTATTATACATAAACATGTATTTTGTTTTAATATTTTATAATTTTTTTTTTACATGAAAAGCGAAAGTTCTTTTACCAATATCCAACTTTTATTTGTTTGATTATTTTTTTTCGGGGGGGGGGGTCGTTTATATACCTTAAATTACAATTTACAATGCTTAAAAAATCACACACACATTCATTGGTTACAAAAAACAGCGTGACATTTCAACCGCTGAATTGACCTTCCCATCCGATTATGAAGCGAAAAAATTTATCATCACCAAAACAATTTCTTATGATTAAGTCTTTACATAAAATACTGTAGCCCTGAGTGCAGTTTGTACAATAAAATTGTGTAGGGATACCAGGATTGGCCAGTGAGTGTTAGTGAGGCCAACCCACACAGTATGTAACACGTTAACCTTTTGACAGCACGAAATCGAGGGAGAGTGGGCGAGAATTCAATCGGAGGACACCCACGCATTACATTGATACTGAGCGCTGTCTCACGATCTGTCCGGTAGTTAATTATTATGATATTCCTTTTGATCATTCCAGCCAGGATTTTTCATTCACAAACAATAAAAATAAATCAATGGTTTCGAAGGCGAAATCTATTTATAGCTGTGGGAGAAATAGAAACGACTAAAATAGATCCATTCGTGTGAACTCGGGATTTTACACTAGCTCGTAAAGCACCTGTTTGTCGATAAGTGACTGTGACGTCAATGAACACTTTGACGTAGGCCGGTGATATTTATAAACATTAGAGATTATGCTTGTGTTCAGATTTTAAAGGAGAGTGGATCGTTGCGGAGTGTATTTTATTTTTTAAGTGATGCTACCAGTAGAGATTAAAAGTTCAGAGCGGCAGGTTCCACAGGGAAATAATAACTTGGAAGAAATCATTGTGCCAAAATACTTGGAGGGGGTTGTTCCCCCGATATTCAACAAAAATAAAGACAAAATCCGGTCTGTTGATGCAAAGTCAAAAACAAACACAAAAGTTTGGAAGCATTCACTTGACTTAAGTGGATTTAAACCGGAGGAAATTCAGGTCAATTGTTCCGACTCTAACACAGTTTCTGTGACAGCAGAAAAAGCTAAAAGCAATGACCACAAAGGATTTCAACTGAGAAGAACGGTGTTCGTCCCAGGGGGAGTGGACATGTGCAATATTTCCAGCTTTGTGTCCGACGACGGAAAGTTGGTGATTCAAGCCCCCTATCAGTGTACCCCATCCAGAGAATCCTGTCAAAAATGTTCTTTAAAAAGAAAATTGAATGAAGCTCCAGAAAAATCTCAGGGATACATTAATGCCAAAAAGCTTAGGACAGAACTAATCGATACCTCAAACGGGACAGAAAATCAATGTGATTCAGAGCCTGTTAATGCGGATGCCGACAGACGTCATCAAAGGGGAGCGTTGTCGTGTCCCCCCTCAGGAAATACCCGGTCTTACGGTACGGGAAATAGAGATGCAGAGGAGGAAACGGTAGATATTGACCTCACCAAACCCGATCCCTCACCCAAATCGAACATGTCCAACTGTAAAACTTTAAATTCCCATAAAGACAAAAGTCCATCCTTACCTGAATCAAATTCTGTCAAAGCTCATTCTTGCACTCCGTCCCCTAAAACTCAGGTAAACTCAGATTCCATACCCACTAAACCGTCCCCCGTGACGTACAGCAATACTGTCAAGTCTGTGAGCCCGCCCCCGAAGGTCGTAGGGATAAGTGAGGGATTTGACGTTTCCTATAAAGACATTGGTCGACTTCCGTCCGTCAGGCGCCAGTCCGTTGTTCTCAGTGTTCCCATAGAGAATTTTTTCCCTGATAGGGATGATATAGTGATTTCCCTGCAGGGGAACACGCTCAAAATAAAGGCCACCAGGGTGCAGCAAGTGAAGCACGCTAAACTCTCAGAGCTGTTCGTCAAGGAGCTCGTGTTTCCTCCCCACTTTGACTGTCGCTCGATACAACTCGCCCGGGACCCCCAGGGGTCATTGATAGTCACCGTGGACAAGTCTCTATAAGTGTTTGTCTGTCTGTAATATATATATATATATATTTATTGTGATTTTGTTGAAATGATATTAAAATTGCATTATTGTTACGTTTTAATTTGGCATTTTTTCATTTCAATGTTAAAAATAATTATTAACTATCAATTAACCAGTCCCAAACATATTCTAGCCCTTCTTATTAACCTCAGACAATATAACTATACTCAAGATCTTAATATATAAGATTAACCATTTCAATGATATAGGAGGTCATATATCATTTCCCTGTATTTTTTGGCGTCTTTGATAATGTGTAGAAATGAAGAGGTTCCAAATGAGGACTTCATTTTTTCTTTTTTCTTTTTAATTTAAAGTTATGTACATTGCTGAAATAAGTCGGAAACTCTATCTATTTCCTACATCTATCCTTAAAAGGGAAAAACCCACTACAATGGGGCTAATCTTAATATGTGTAATACACCTACTCCTTTAATTTAGAAAAATGGAACCATGGTTTTATGAAAACTAGAAGGCACAATGGTATTGAAAAAAGGAGGAAAACAAATTTAGTGGATTTCCTAATTCACGTTTTATTGAGCAAAGCCTTTCGATGACGCACATGTATTTCTCAGAAAAAAAAAAGATTTTTAAATATTAGTACTTTTTAAAGAAATATAATGGTAACTCTCAGGGACTAGGTTTATACCTTATTTGGTTTTCTTGACCACAATGATAAAAAAAATATATTAGAAATTTTTGTCATATTTTGGCAAGAAAAAAACCCAAACAGAATAAAATTCTCATAATACAGAGTTATACATCGGGGTAGTATGTACAAAAATACACATCAATGATCATGTAAATGCTTTGAGCGTAAAATCATTGTCAAGCAACATCTAATTGACTCAGAACTTATAGTGCATACTTTACTCGAAGCAGGAACGTAAATATGACTGTATATAATTTACACCTTGTGTAACGTTCTAACAATTTTGGCCTTTATCTACTAGTATATGTAAATGTTTAATTCCATCTCCTGGTTATAGCAAATATATACATTGACCAGATGTGACTTACACATGTCTTACCAAGATCACAGGACTGCGGTGTCTGAGTTCAAAATAAACTTTCATTCAATAATCTATACATAGGAATGGTAACTTTTCAAATTAGGATTGTTTTAATTTAAATGAAGCTTGAAATTTAATTTTTTTTTATTTCTTTCCCATCCCATCCATTTCTTGGAGAAATGTGTAAGATGACAATCCAGGCTGACCTCACCAAACTTGATAAAATCCAGGTCTCAAAACCATTAAGAGAGTTCAGAATTAAGTCAAAATTTTAAAATAGCATAACTTTTGAAATAAATTTTAAACTAAAAAATAAATTCGTCATGATTTTGTAATTGAATTATTTAAAACAAACTTACAATAGTTCAAACAAGATATTAAAAATATGAGGAAGATATTAAAAATATGAGGAACTATGCACGCTTAATCTCGATTTCCGTCTACATTTTACTCACAATAAATGGGAATTTGGCCATCAAAACTTTTCTTACTGCAAAGTAAATTAATAAGTAATTTTACATCAAACATAATTTATGTAAAACCAAGCATATAAGATTGATAAAGTATTTTTTTTTTTTTTACATTAAAAATAATTTATATAAAATTAAACATATAAATTTGATAAAGTATTTTTTTTTTAGCTGCAATCTCATTTATATTCATTTGGTAATAAAACGTTTTTGTCTGTAAGCATATCCACCCCACCCCTCCTGAAACAACAAAAGCTTTGATATAAATTTGAATTGTTAGATAACAATTCATATCTGTAAAAAAAAAAATAATAATAATAATCTTTGTTTTTCAGGGGGATGTTTAAAAAATATTTCCCTTCCTCTATTGATTTCAATAGTGAAAAAAAACTATAGAGTTATCTCTCTTTGGTTTCCCAAATGAGTTGTGTATAAATATATCAATAAATATTGTTTAATTAAATTATATTTCTTATCAATTTACCGGAGATTCATTACGTAAATATAATGACTAACTGTTAAGCCTTACAAGGAATCTCAACCATCAAAGAAAATAAACGGAATTTTCTAAATTGCGTCACTACTTATAATCATGTTTAATTTCACAACGTCCAAAGCTCAAAATGACTACCGTCTCTTTCATAAACTAGGGAAAGTCGACACTTTTTAAATTTTTCTCAACGATGTCATGCACATATTTTTGCTGAGCAACTCCTCATTTAAGTTTTTCTTTCGAGTTCATTCACTTTCTGTGGTTTACGGTGTGTAAACCCTGTCGTTAAGACCTCATAAAGAAAAAAAAACTCCAAAGGGTTAAGATCTGGCGAATCTGGAGGCCACGTTTTCTGTTTATTAATCTGTCTCCGAATGTTTCCTCCAACCAATTTAGATCGGCAAATAAAGTGTGGGCTGTCCCTCCATCCTAGGCCTGTTATAACCAAACAGTTTGGAGATCAACGCATTTTCTTCGCAATCTTTGTCAGCATTTTGTTCTAAATACTAGTAAGCGGAAGTATGGCTCTGACTAACTGTTGTGGTTTCACAATTCTCTAATAGAGTTCATTGACTTTGACTACTTAATACAATCCACATTTTCGATCACCTTTTTGTGTATCTAGAGGTTAATTATTTATTGGGTGAAAATTTGACTTTTTTATGTTGACCAGAATCGCACATTTTCCTTCTTCGTTTCACTCTGCCTCATCCAGGAACCAAATTTTCTGAAAAACGTCATTTCCTTGTTGAAGCACCTTGTGAATTCGGGGCCCTGTTTTAAAAAAGAACGTACGACTAAGACTAAAATGTAACTTTGCGAATAATTTTCTTCTTCACGTTAACTAAAAATCATATTTATCATTTTTGAAAGGAGCTCTAATACATATAATTATGAAAGTAATTATCAATAGAATTTTTAATCTTGCTAGATTTTACATGAAGCTCAAGATTTTGGCCTTAGTCGTAAGTGTTTTTGTAAAACAGGACCCAGTTTGATTTTGAACGAATGATTCCTTGGAGCGGATGCATCTGAGCAGAGTGGGGATGGGGGGTCCGGATTTCCACTATCTCCACCTCTTGGACTTTTATAGTTATTAAAATCATATAGTAAATAACGAAAAAAGGACCTTGGGCCATCCTATGATTTTTATGAGGGAAAGTGGCTTGTGTGTTTGAAGATTTTTTTAAGGGGGGGGGGTCTTTAATTGTTTCTTGTTCTTTGCTTGCCAAAAATTTCTGAGGAGGTACTTTTTTTTTTTTGCTTGAGTAAGCTAGGATCTTCTATACCAAAAATTTATAAATCTTACCACAGGGGACAAAATTTTGCATAAAATGTGAAATGTCATTTTTAAACGTTTTTACTAGTCATATCGTCGCCCGCGTGGCGCTGTGGTTAGAGCGTCTGCTCTAGAGTCGCGGAGTAAGGAGTTGATCCTTACGTAGGAGGTTCGAATCTCACTTTGGGACATGGAGACCGGTCCTTCAGATGAGACCGTAAAAAACCGAGGTCCCGTGTAGCAGTAGGTGCTGGCACGAAAAAGATCCCTCACTGCCCTGAGTGCCAATTATAGGTTAAAATTTGCAGCTCTCCACCGGCAAGTGGTGGTGTCTTCATATGAGTGAAAAAATCTTGAGAGCGACAATAAACAACATACAGACGTTTTTATTGAGGGGGCACAATCATATAATACCTATGTTTTCTATAGTAAACTATATATCGGCAAATTTATTTTCTATAGTAAACTATATATCGGCAAAATTATTAGGGGGGGGGGGGGGCACGGCCCCCCCCGTGCCCCCAGTTCCTACGGCCATGGGCCAAATAGCGCAAGCGAGATAACTCTGATTAAACATTGTACATGTCAGATACAGATCTTGTTTGGCGTTTAGAACCAAGATATTTAACCTCTCCCATGCAGAGTTGTCGTTCGTTCCTCTCTCATGGTAAGTAGAGAGTACTTTCGTTGATTCGACTAGATGAAATCCCGCGCAAGCGCGGGGAATTGAATTTATAGCAGGAAGATATACTTTGTTCAAAATCCCGCATGAAGTAGATGAATATCTCCACCGCCCCCCCCCCCCGCCCCTTCTCCACCCCTTTCTGTAAAAACTTGACTGAAAATAACAATTTCGTTAATTGGCGTTTATTGTGAAACCTGTTATACTGTGTTATGGACATTGTACTTCAGATGCTCTTACTTCATTTCCGTCACGGATAAAAGCAGCGAATATGCACATTTTACTGATAAACTGCATGATTTTTTTTTGGGGGGGGGGGGGATTCACAGATACTTGGGTCTTGGTTTATAAATATGTATGTACCTTATTTATACGTAAAATATGTAGTTTACTTTTTTTTTTACATATCAATAGGGTACATACATATTTATAAACCAAGACCCAAGTACGGGGTCTTTGTAAAAATTAGTTTTTAACGCCATATGAATAGGCCGAGTATTTGATACAAAAGACTGTATTCAGAAAAAAAAAACCTGAAATGTATTGATTAAAGCACAACATTTTACACAGCTTTAATTGTATTTGAACAATACCTTATTCATTAATTTTCTCTTTTCATGTTAGCTAGTTTATTACGAAGTACAAATTGTACTTCTGGTTCGTTGCCACGATGCTCTCAGTAAGGAATACATGTATATAATTATAATTTTACCGATAAATTTATTAGAAAAACCTACTACATACATGAAATAGTCTTTCAATATATAAATATATTCAAAACTTATGGTGTTATCAATGATTTACCATTATTTCAATGACCATTCATACAAAAGCTGTTTTTTTTTTTTTAATGATCGCCTAGTTTTTCTTCGATGCTATATGATGTTTTAGAAGCTGCCGTCAGGTGAATGACGAAAATAATTTGCATATTTCCCTCTTTAACAACTTATTTCTTTTATATCATTTAAATCAAGTTTTGATTGAATAATTCAGTGATGACGTTTAATTAAATAAATAAATGATTGCTTGTTTTCAGTTTCATTAAAAATTGCCAGAATCTTAG